AGGGCTTAGTACAAAATGACAACATTGTACCCCTTGTTCAAAAGTTATTAAGAATGTCAAAACAGCAACAGCAGAGCATTAAGTCAAGTATGGGATTCTTGAGACTACTCAGGTCACACGCCCATGAAGCCAGCCCTGTATGGAGGTTACATCCTCTAGGATAGTCTCTGGCTCCCCATTCTGAGCCAGGTGCTTATCACATACTACTGTCATTTCCTCTTTATGCACCTGTCTCCCCATTAGTCTGTGAGCTTCTTGACACCTGTGTCCTGTTCACTGCTGTTCCCCTGGTGTCCAGCACAGGCCCTGACACAGGGCAGGGACTCAGGGGGCTCTATGGGGGCCTTGGAGCTCCTGGAAGTGAAACCTGGAGGAACCAGGCAGTGAATTGTCATTTCTAGGTTGAACCTCCCTTGGACCACCCCAAGGTCAGACCAGGCATGACTGAGTGAGCCTGGGGTACTTGCCAGGGGATTTAAGAGTGGGATGGAGGTAGGAGAGGGACTAATGTTCTCTTTAAGAGAATGTGTTAATCATCTACCGCCCAGGATCTCACAAATCCTGTTCCTCAGGGCCAAGCCAGGTATGACCAGCCAAGGCGGTGTGGGGGACAGGCAGGGGACAGAGAGTGCAGAACAGACATAGGCCCCTTCCTGGGTGTACACAGCTTGGTGCCGGTCCTGTGGTCCTCATCCTGGCCCACTGACCCTTCTTTAGCCTCGTGAGGCTTCTTAGGCCCCCACACCTCCCTACTCATCCTCCCTACTCAGCGATATGTGTGGGAAAGGGAAGTCGTTTCCAAATGTCTCCTCAGAATGAGGGGAAGAGAGGAGGGCAGAACTCTCAAAGGTTTTGGACAAAAATGAGTGCTCATGTGGAGGCCTCATGATTTTCACAGATTTCTTTTGGTTTTAAATGACAGAAATCTACTACTCTATAACCAGATAAAGAGACATATTAGCTCAAAACCAAGAGGCTCAAGGGTATCTTTAGGCATTGCTGGCCCTTGAATCCAAATATCACCAGAGCTCAGTTTCCCTCTTTTCACTTTTCTCCAGGTAGAGGACAAGATTTCAGACCTCGTGAAAACTCTGACAGGATACCCTGTGAAAGGCTCTGATTGACTTATGGTAATGAGCATATTTCTGAGCCAATCCCTGTGTCCAGGGATGGGAGAAAGTCCCTCCAGATTGTGCTTCCAGAGGAGGGGTGGGAACCAGGCTCCACAGACAGGGTAGTTAGCCAGTGGCCACCAGTCTCTGTCTTTTCTAAACTCAGCACCACCTCCTCGCCCCGTCACTGGCTTCTAGGCCTTTAGAGCTGGATCCCAGGAGGATTCCTGTAGAGCAGAAACTGATGAGCACAGGGAACTGGCTGGTGCTCCATGCTTGCTGTTTCCAGAAGCCTCTTCCCACCCTCCCTCAGAGCAGATCTCAGGGTTTTCTTCCCAGAACAGGGTGAGGAGACCCCCAGGCAGGTTTCCTCAAAGGGCTTCAACTCTAGGATGCTTCTTTTTGAGGCTGAGAAATTGTCTTTCTTTTTACCTCATAAATGAGCCAGCCATAAATGAAGGAAGACAAAGAGAACCCTTTAGAAAAGAACAACGTGCAACACTGCTCTCTGGGCCTTTCCTGTTGATTTCAGTTAACACAGGCCTGTCCTCAAAGCCAGGCAAGACAGGAACAGCTTTAGTGATGACGGTAAGGAGGATTTCCTTCAACCCTTTGCGCATTTCTCCCTTTCAGATATGCTAAGAGGCGAGGTCAGGTGTTTTCACCAGTTGATTCCACATTTATTGAGGAAGTAGGAAGCTCTCTCCAGATCCAAGGCAGCAGAGAAATGTCTCCATTTCATAGTGTCTTCCCACCATGGTGGTTCTTTCTACTGTGATTCTGGGTCAGGTATGATGAAATGGACTTGAGATCAAAGAGCTGGTGTCTCAAAGTCAGGACATCTGGGTTCCATGCCTGTCCACTCAGGACCTTCTGCTTAACCTTGTCTCTTATTACTGGGTCTCAGCTTCCCCACCTGTGAAATGAGGGGTTGCACAAGACCTCTCAGGTCCTTCTTAGCTCTGAATTTCTGTAAGTCTAGGTCAGATAGAAAGACCAATCAGGGTTCTGGTTCTGTTCCCGCTTTTGCCACGATTCATTAGATGACTCTGGGAATTCCTCTTCCTTGGTGGACCTGTTTCCAGTCCTTGAACAGCCTACATCATGTTGGAGGGCTATATAATAGGTGGTATGGAGCAGGGCTCTCTCAGGGCCTGCTCTTTGGCGGGCTCACCACTGAGGATCCCAGGCTCTAGAAAGCTCCAGCCCGGAACTAGCCTTCCGGTGAAGTCTACAGGTTTAGTACCCCTACTTCTGGGGCCTGTACCCAGTCACATGGCCTCGGGCCTATGTAGCCTGCTTTGGCCTTTTGCTCTTGCTCAGTCTTCCAGACCCAGCAACAAATATGGGCATGCCTCAGCCAACATGTTCAGTTCCACTGAAGCTTCATCAGAGCCTGTTCTGGGTTAATGGGAGGGCCTGATGCTTAGTGGGACATGGAGGAGGCAGATGCAACCCTCATCCTCAGGGAGCTCATGGTCCCGGGTGGGGAGGAGGACCAGTGTGAACACACACCATGTACCGTGACAGAGGGTCAGCATCCTCAGCACAGAAAACAGGGAGAGGATTTCATGCCGGGGATTCTAGAATGGTGTTTTGCCGGGGACCTTGAAGAATGAGGAGGATTTGAGATGGAGCTGCAGGTGGAGAGTCAGCATGATGGAGGAAGTGCTAACAGTCTATAGGGTCCAGGGGGAGGCGAGTAGTGAGGTTGGGAAGGAGCATGGGACCCAATCTCACAGGCTGTCATGGCCTGGAGGGTGAGTCAGGGCTGGGTGGGTGGGGGCAGTGAGGCTTCTGGATTAGTCAGGAACCTTTTGGTTGCAAGTGATGGGAACTGAACTTGAACTAACCCTGACAAAAAGTGATTTATTGGAGGAACTGAGATTCCAAGGAAGGCCTGTACATCCCACCATGGGAAGGCTCAGGTGCTGCTGGCCCTCAGGATCAGCTGTCTGGGGACTCAGACACCATCAGCACCCACCTCTTAATCCTGTTTCTCTCTGTGTGGACTTCATTTTTCTCATCTGTGGCCGACTACATTTCTCCACGAGGAGGAATCCTGGGGAAGAGACTTACTGGCCCAGCTCAGGTCAGGTTCCCACTTTGGATCCCTCACCTGTGGCCAGAAGCTGGGTCACATGGTAACAGGGCTGCTCTGATCCTCTCGCAGAAGGCAGGGAGGGCAGCTTCTGAAGGAGGCACAGTGCTGAGCGGGCGACCCCAAGCTATCCCTTGGGTTTCTGAGCAGAGGACTTCGGCCTGAAATTACCTGCATTTTGGGCTTAAGAGTCAGCATTAAAGATGACAGTTTTCCCCCTTTATCCATAAAAACAAATTTGCAACAATTTATTAAAAATTGATACCATGCAATAGGGGTACGAGAAATTCCTCATTTACATTTGATTCTGGCAGTTCCAGTCTAATTTAAAGCATTTGTGCACTAACATCATTGGAAAACACCTTCAGGCTGAAGCCTTTTCGGAAATGTGCGGTGTATTTGCTGCGTATAAAAGAACAGACCGTTAAATAGCTAGAGTCACTTCTGTGGGTCTTGTTATTTGCAGGGAAATTAAAAAAATGGGTGAACCTACAGTATCATTAAGACAGAGAATGTAGTTTGTGGGTTAACCTAGAAGACTGCACGTTCAGGAGTCACAATGGGTCACAGACGCACACACTCACCTCCGACGGCCCAATACTTTTGTTGCTTTTCCCCTTACTATGCTGGAATAATATTTCTACAGGTATTTGTGTGTGTGTGTGTGTGTGTGTGTGTGTGTGTGTGTGTGTACATTATGTACAATGAATTGTTTCTTTCTCTTTGAAAAATTAAGGTGGCCCTTTAAATTAAATCGGATTTTGGTGAAATCAAGAAAGCAAGTAAATACTGGTAATACACAGTGAGTAACAACACCAATTTTTAGTGCCTAAACAGACAATGACTTCAACTTGACCTGTGATGTGTTAACATTTTTTTTTTTCCCTAAAAGCTACAGTACCTCCATAACCTCTCTTTGGGGGAGGGGAGAGGAAAGCTATGCTACGTGAAATAGGGTGTTCTGAAACGTTGGCGATGGTAAGATGCCCATGGGCCCTTTTGTCAAAGCCTGGTGGTGACAGCAGCATATTCTGACTTCAGTGGTCTGGGAAGAGATTATTGCCTGCCTATGGAAGCTGCCATTAGGTTTCTTTAGGGAATGAGCGGCTGCTCAGTTGTGCAGATGTCCTGGACGTTGTCATTCAGGCCTTTCTTTAGCAAAGAATGAACCTGTCTAGGAATGTCACAAGTCATAGGGGACTCTCTTCAGCCGGCTGATCCTGGGAGAGAGCTGTGCTATGAGCTTCTCTGGGCCACTCCCCTGGCTGCTGTGAGGGCTGAAGGTCATGGTCATCCTGATACCTCATGGATCAGGGCTGCTTCACTGTCTGGTACAAAGCTTTCCTGCACGAGATCGAGTTTTGATCCTCAGAGTGACCCTGTGAGGTAGGCAGGATGGGAATTATTTCAACCCCAACTCAGGGGAGACTGAGGCTCAGAGAGACACTGGTGACTTGCCCAAGGTCATGGAGGGAGTCAGCAGTGGAATGAGGACTTGAACCCAGGTGTGTCTTACTCTCAGGCCAGTGCTCTTTGGGGTTCAACTACAAGGGAAGAGTGATCTTATGAATGAGAATCAGTGTGCTGACTGATCACCCCTGTGATCTCATGGGCACAGCTTGTCTGGACTGAAGGCTGCCTTCTGGAAGCGGAGAGAGCCCTCGGCTAGCAACTTCTTCCCTACGAGTACAGGGATGCCTTCTAGAAGAAGAATGCCCATGATTCACTTTGGTCAGAAACAAAGTCAGTGGAAAAAAACAACAACCCGGCAAGCCCTTGGGCCCTGATGAGAGAGGTTAAAGTGCACAATCTTTCTGTTTTGTGTATGCTGGGAGCAGACATTCCATGATTACCTCAGGTGGCCCCCCTTATTACTGGGAACACCTGATGCGAACACAGGGACATGGCCAACGTGGTGGGTGCATGACCGACTGTCGGTGAATGCTGCAGAGTATGTCTGCAGTGACGTGCCCTAAATCCCCGCAGTCCAGAACGAGTGTTATTGTGTTAATGTGTGGCATTTATCAGAGAGTGAGGTCCCACCGGGAGGCATGGGAGTCAGCCCGCTCCAGCACCCCAGCCCTGGGCCACCTGGCGCAGAGCTGTGCCTGGCTGCCCTTCCGGCAGGCCCCTGTTCCAGGAAGGCTGGGGTTGGCTGGACTGGCAGCTGCCCTGCCTACCTCCTTCCCCAGAGCGGAGAAGGGCTGGGGGGGAGGGGACGGGGCACAGCCAGTGATGCGTGTGCAGAGGCAGAGGACATTTCTCCAGCAGCCCTTTCTCTCTCAAGGCTGTGCAGTGACTTCCAGCTGGAGTTCCAGTGACTCTTTCCTTGTCTAGGGTTTTTGTCAAAGTTTCAAATATCCTAGTTCCTCCTGTTTGCAGACATTAAGGAAGAAGTAATTTCCATTCCTCTTCTTTGTGAAAGAATAAAAACTTCACAAATAAGGCCCGAGGTCAGGTGCCAAGTGTGCCCCATCCTGTCCACCTGAGTGCCATCCGAGCAGTTCTGCAAGGCCAGCCATGGCGCCCAGCTTCTCCGCAGCCAGATCTGACAGTGTTCCTGCAGCAGACACCTCTGCTCTGTGTGGTTCTGTCACGGGGGAGGCCCTGGCCCCAGGCCTACCACCCTTACAGGCCCGAGACCATAACTCGGAAGGAGGGTGGCACATGTCTATGGCGGGGGCTGGCGGTGGGGCTGACGCAGGGGCTGACACAGCTGGCGTCCACGCCTCCGATGGACGGGAGGTAGGCGTGGTGGAGGATGGGGAGCTGGAGGGACAGCCGGCGCTGGATGCTGTGGCAGGGAGAGAAGAGAGGGAGGAGCATTAACGGAGGCTATCTGGCTGCTCACCAGAAAGCTCTTTGGACTCGCTTTGACGAAGAGGCTGATGGTAGAAGCTGTTTTATCTGAATTCAAGATCTGTCCATCCTATCCTCTGACCATTCACCCATCCAGCAGGTATTTAATGCAAGCCTGCCTGTGCCAAGCACCACCCTGGGAATAACCAGGGAGACATTATAAGCAAAGAGGATGCTCCTTGGGCTTCTGGTTATCCCTAAGCACCAGGCTTCCTGCAAACACAGACAGTTCTCATTCTCTACGCTTGCAAGCCTCCACATGGGCTTGGCTTTGGGTTCCATCCCTGAAAGCTTTCCCAGCTGACGCGTCCTTCCCCATTGGCTCTGCCTCCCTGCCTTGCCCAGGACCTCAGCCCTCCTTGCTGGGCCAATTCCAGTAGTTTCCTTCCTGGGCTTTCAGCTTCTTTGGTGACTAGCATTACATTTTCAACATGGAGATAGGACATTCAGGGGCTCTCTAAGATCTGTCTCTTCCAGTTCTCCAGTTGCATCTTCTACCCCCTCTCTCTGTACACTCTACCCTCTGGCAGCTATTTCCCCAAAGCACTGCTCCTGGCCACTTTCCTTGCCTTTGCAAGCGCCGTTTCCCCAGCCTAGGGAACCTTGGTTTACTTCCTGATCTGACGAACTGCTTCTCCTTCAAGATCCAGTTCAAGTGTCCTCTTCTTTGTGCTAACTCCCCAGGGAGTGAGCCCATTCGTCCTCCGAGCACCCAGAACCCTCGGTAAATTTCTGAGACGCAGCCAGAAAAACCAGAGCCAGGGGGACAGTTTATGGGACCGATGAAGGACAGAGTGGAAAGGGAGCTGCCTTCCAACTCCCTTCTACTGCCACACCTCTGCGCTCCCCTTCTCATCAGCCTTCACCATGACCACCAGCAGGAGGTCAGGAAGTCACCCTAGTTGGTAGAAAGGTTGCTGTGGGGGAGTGTGTGCAGGCTGCGGCCCCTGCTCTGCTCAGCTTTGTGCACTTCTCCATGGCAGCCGGGAGGTTGCACTCCCTGTGTTCTCAGTCCTTCTGTGTCCCCAGTGCCGGGCCATGCAGGGGGGACGAAATGCCAGATCTTCACAAAGACCCAGTAGGCAAAAGTAGTCTTCCCATTGTAAAGATGAGTTTATGTAACTTGCCCACAGAAACAAAGCCAGAAACAAAGCAAGGTGGGACTCTTGCTTCTGTTAAACTATAGAGCTTTGTGGGGGAGGCCAATCAATGCACAGGGGCTGCCTCATCCTGACAGAGGGGCTGTGCCCCGGACTGTAAGTAGGGCACTAGTGGGGATCTGAGATGGTTGGGGACAAATGCAGGGCTGGCTGTCCCCACTCCCTAAGGACCTGTTGGCCTGAGGGCTTCTCCCAAGAGATACCTCACAGGTGCTCATGAGATAGGGGTGTTGGAGATTTCATTTTGAAATTAAAGTCAAGTCTTTGTAATGTCAACTATGATTGATTCCTTCAGGCAAGATTGTGTCAACAAAGAGTTCAAGAAAAGGAATCTGAAGAATAAACTCTGACCTGGGAAAGGGTGCCCCGTCTGAGCATTTCCGGCAGGGCCATCTACCTGGACAAGGTGGGCATCTGTCCAGTTGTCAGAGCCACAGAATTCTGCTGTCTAGTGGGATCCTGTTTACGTTTTCATTCATTCAGCAGACACTTGCCACGAACCTACTTGGCGCTGTGTTCAGTCCAGGGGAATTTTGAAGGACCCATATCTTACCTGAGTCAATGTGCTGACAATCTAGTGTGGGGAACTGACAGGTAAACTGCTGACGCATGTCATATAACCATCAGTAATTGTTCTGACTAGAAGCCAGTGAGCCTGGGAGCTAACTGGGTTGAGAGGCTAGTAGCTCTAACACTGAATGGCCCCAAATGACATGGCCGTTGGTGATTCAGCTGTTTTTGCTGGTTCCTCATCGCTAGTCACTTCCCAGGGGCCAACTTGCAGGGCTGATATTTCTTTATTTTATTTAATTTAATATTTTATCCTCGAGAACATTTTTGCATTTATCTTCAGATAGAGCAGGAGAGAGAGAGGGGAGAAGAAAGAGAGAAACATCGATGTGAGAGAGACATCGACTGGTTGCCACCCACACGACCCCCAACAGGGGCTGGGGACAAATTGCAACTGAGGTACATGCCCCTAGCAGGAACTGAACCCGGGTCTCTCTGGTCCATAGGCCGACGCTCTAACCACTGAGCCAAACCGGCCAGGGCATGGGTTGACATTTCTAGTCTCTGCCTCCAATCCGCTGTGAGCTGGGAAAAACTACCACTGGGAACAAAGCGAACTGAGATGTCCAGGTCTTTGTTTCGATGTTACCTTCTCATTTATTCTTCTCTGACCACTCTATTTAAAATTATACTCCTAGCCCCTCCCCTGCCTTATTTTTCTCCAAAGCATCATCATTTAACATACTAGGTTTTGCTTTGCTAATTAAGTTATTGTCTTACCAGATAGATTGGTAGCTCCATGAAGGGAGGGATTTCTGTCTGTTTTCTTTACTGCTGTGTCTGGCACATAGTAGATCTCAGTAAATAAATGCACTCACCAAGATTAAGATGTATACATAACAAAGGCAGCGTGCTACAGTGGAGAACATGGGATTTGATATTAGACAGACCTGAGTTCAAACCCTATCTCCTGCACTTAGCAACTGGGTGAGCTTTGGCAAGTCACCTCCCTTTTTTGAATATTAGTTTTCTCATCTGTACAATGAGCACTGTCATCTGACCTGCATCATGGGAATGCGGTGGAGTTCCGATAAAATAATGCACGTGGAAACACGGTGCATGGTAAACTGCAAACCGTTCTGTAGGCGTCATGAACTCTTCGGCAGTAATTCTTAAGGAGAAGGTACTTACTGTTCTGGGGAGTTGATATCTTCTATGGGATCTTTGCATGTTCGTGAGGGCTCTGTTGTGTTCCACTGTAGCTGGGGATTTTGATCAAGGTGATTTTTTAAAATGGCCTTTCCCCCATCTGAAGGCAAAACAACATTACAACATGTTATATTAACTTGATTTAAAGAAATCGATAATGCAGTCTTTTTAGGATGCTGCCCCAGGAGAGAGAACGCAAAAGAGTCCAGCATCCCCATGCATTGTCCAAGCTGTGGCCTCTTCAGCAGCTTTTCCTGGGACCAAGGCAGGGAGCCGAGGACTCCGCCCAGGGGTGGAAGTGGCGTGCTGGAGATGTGTATGGGGTGCCCTGTGCCCTCCTTTTTTTTTCTTCTTAGCATTAATGATTATTTATTTATTTATTTATTTATTTATTTATGTATTTATTTATTTATTTACTTTTCAACTATGATTGTACTCTTTATTATGGAGAATATATCATTGCACATTTACAGTGTTACAGAAAATAATATTTCTAATTTATTCTGCTTTAATTCCTCTTCAACTTCTTACCTTTCAACTTTATCTAATTTTTATTTTATTAATTTATTTTTGTTACAGATGTTTCTCCTACCTGTGCCCTCCTTTTCTCCATGAACAAAAGAGGGAGAAATCAGGTCAACCGATGTAGGCAACATAGCTTGACATTAGAGGTTTAATATGAAGGCCCTTGTCACTGGTGCATAGGAATGTGATGACAGAGACAATACCTCCAACATATACTTTCCAAGAATTGAAAAGAGTAATAACAGTAAACTTCTGGTGGGAGTTTAAATTGACACAACCTTTCTGGGCATCAAAATGAGCATCAAACACTATAGACAGTGTTTATATCTTTCACTCAGAATTTCCACTTCTGGGAATTTTCCTAAGGAAATAATTAAGGATCTGTGTGAAGATACATACAAAATGTTCAAATCAGTATTGTTTACAATATTGAAAACTTGGAACTAATCCTAATTTGTCCAGTAATAATGGATTAGTTACATACTAATATATATTATATTATGTATAATAAAATTAATTATAATTAATAATTTATATATTGTTAATTTTATAAGACTACTTATTCTATAATAAGAATAAAAGAAACAAGATCTTTTTCATCGACTTAAAATTTAATTTTATTGCAAAAATGAATATATGCTAATAAAAATGCAAACAATAGAGAAATATATAAAATGAAATGTAAAAGATTCGCTTCTCACCCACCTTTCCACACAGGTGGATACTGTTAACTATTTGGTGTCGGTTCTTTTTTGTTGTTGTTAATCCTCACCCGAGGATATTTTTCCAATGATTAAAAAAAAATCTTTATTGTTGAAAGTATTACAGATGTCCCCTATTTTTTCCTTCATTGACTTCCTCCTTCCTGCTCCCACCCCCTCCTGATTTCCCCAAACTATTGTCTGTGTCCATTGGTTATGCATATATGCATATAAATTCTTTGGTTTTTAGATTAAGTGGAAGGGAAGGGAGAGAGGGAGGGAGGGAGGGAGGGAGGGAGGAGAGAGAGAGAGAGAGAGAGAGAGAGAGAGAAAGAGAAACATTCCTGAACCAATCAGAACACCAGGAATGCTGGCCACGTGTGTACAGGGGCAACTGGAGCCCAAAGGTCTGGGAGGCAGAAGCCCCAGCTCTGCCTGTATGACCTCAGACCAGTCCGTCCTTCTCTGACCTCTGTTTCTTCACCTGTAAAATGGAAGGTTGATGGTTGGTGTCTGAGACCAGGCCCCCACGTTCTAGGGGCTCCACCTTCTCTTACCTGTGCTCTCCGTGAAGTTCCCTAGGCTGAGGATGTCATTGAGCTCTTGGTAATGGTTCTGTTTAATGTAGGTGGTCTTTTCTGGCGTGTCCTGCAGCTGCATGGTGACCTCTTCCAAGTCTTTATCGAGCTGGAAGACAAAGGCTCCAGCTGAGTCAGAACTCTGGCCCAGCCCCTGCCCCAGCCCGGGCTGCAGGCCTCGAGAGCCAAGAAGTGGCTCACAGGGTCACAGGGCTGGGCCTCAGGCTGGCTTTGGGAGGGCACTGAGAGCCAGCGGGGCTGCTGCATGCTGGGGAAGAGATGCAGAGGGCCCCTGTCAGCTCTTGTTCCAGGAGGAAGTGTGATGAGAGGGGCCTGGGCGTTGCAATGATGTGTCAGTGCAGGCTTGTGCCTGATGGAATAGCCCAGGAAGGTGGGGGGAGCATCACAGCACAGGCTCTGAAGCTGGACAAGCCTCCGGGCAAACCCAGGGCTGCTCCTTACCGGCTGTGTGCTGGCCGGTGAGAACCGAGTCTCAGTACCTTCATCTGTAGAATGGGGTAATAACAGTACCTGCCTCACAGGGTTCTTGTGAAGATTAAATGAGATAATACAGTAAAAGTTCATCCCAGTGCTTGACACATAAGAGTAACCTACTCCTATACTACTATTACTGTAGTTACTATCGATCCTAGCAGAACCCTTGGTGTGGGGGTGGAACAGATCACAGGACTGGTCAGCTCTGAGCCTCACACTGTCATGAGACTCAGGTCAGTAGGGTGCCTTCAGAGGAGCTGAGCAGGACAGACCCCTGGCACCCTCAGGTTATATAAACACCAGATGCAAGCCCGGGGCAGTTCAGTCCCCGAGAAGCTTGGGGAATGTATGTTGGGGAGTGGATGGTAGTTGGGGAGGGTAGCGGGCATCCTACTACAATATAAGGGAGGAGACCCACAAACTGTAAAGCGCCGTACCGCTGTCGAGAGCACAGCCACACACTGTTAGTGAGTTTCCAGGTGGAGGAGGTGAGAGAGACCTTTCTGTGTGACTCGAATGGTAAGGCTAAGGTCAAAGCACCCGGAAGCCAGACTGTGGCTCCATTTCAGGAAAGAGAACCCAACATGTCAGGGTTTGACAGTGGCTTGGATTTGGGGTTTCCTAAATGGAGTGAACTCTTCATTGCTGGGGTGTGCACGTGGAAGTCGAGGGACAGAAACCGTTCCTACTCTGCTCCGGGGGCAGGTAGAGGGCCCTATCTCCAGAGCCCACGGCAGGGGCTCACAGCAGTTAGCAGGTGGACATACAGCAGCTAAACACACAGAATGCCAGTCACCACGGAATTTCAGACAATAAGGAATCCGTGTTTAGAGTAAGTATATCCCAAATACTGTACATGACACACTTATACTAAAAATATGATTGGGTGGCCCTGGCCAGTTTGGCTCAGCGGTTAGAGCGTCGGCCTGCGGTCCGGAGAGACCCGGGTTCGGTTCCCGCTAAGGGCACGTACTTCGGTTGCAGTTTGTCCCCGGCCCTGGTTGGTCGTGCGGGTGGCAGCCACTCGATGTGTCCCTTCACGTCGATGTTTCTCTCTCTCCTTCCTCTCTCTTCCCCTCTCACTCTATCTGTACAAAAAATGGAAAAATATCCTCGGGTGAGGATAAAAAAAAATAAAAATAAAAATATGATTGGGTGTTTGTCTGAAATTAAAATGTAACTGGGGCCCTGGCTGGTTTGGCTCAGCAGTTAGAGCATTGGCCCGTGGACCAGAGAGTCCTGGGTTCGGTTCCCGCTACGGGCACGTACCTCAGTTGCAGTTTGTCTCTGGCCCCTGTTGGGGTCGTGTAGGTGGCAACCAGTCAGTCGATGTGTCTCTCTCACATAGATATTTCTCTCTCTCTCTTCACCCCTCTCTCCCTCCTGCTCTATCTGAAGATAAATGCAAAAATGTCCTCAGGTGAGGATAAAAATAAAAATAAAATAAAATAATGTAACTGGGCATCCTGTATCTAATCTGGCAACCCTACATCTCACTTCTTCCTTGGGACCCTTAGCCTCCCCCGGGGCTAAGTGTGATATGCACATTCTTGTCAAAGCAACTAGAGCGAACCCAAAATGTGTACAATTTTGTATCACTTGCTTAAAAGGCACCCCCCTGCATGGGTTTCCTTTTTCTTTCCTTCCTGACCCTGAGAGCGGGCTGTGCCACCCCCTGGCTTTAACGGCACTACCAAGGAAGACAAATCCCTTCGGGAGCGGCCGGCAACCAGGGCCGAGGGAGTCTCATCCGGCAAGGACCTCGGGGAGCAGAGCTGCCTGCCGATCTGGGCCTCTCTCCTTAGCACCATTAGGTGAGAGAGAAATAATGTATATTCTCTTTGGGCCACTAGATTTGGGGCCTCTGTTATAGCGACTTAGCCAGTATCCTGACCCACACACTGTCCTTTGTTCCCCTCCTGTCTCATTGAATCAGAATTCCTCCATTAAGCACATGGCCCAAGTGGCATAGCCCTGGACCCAAAGGGAGGGCTGGACAGAAGGAGGTAATTTGGTTTCCCCTCCCTGGTATAAAAAGTCCAGAATTTGAGGTTTGGCTTGGGCACAAAAGAATTTGGTCATGGCCTCTCTGAATTATTCAAGAACTAGTTCAAGACCTTCAGGAGGAAGTGAGGTCGGCTGCAGCCGGCTCTCTTCCCTGAAAGTTTCTCTGCACGTCCTCCTCTCTTGTGGTGCATTGTGTAATGTAGGTGATTACAGGGCGTGTTGGGAAGAGTGAAAAGTGGAGGGGAGCACCCAGCTAGGCATCTGCTTGGGAAGTAACAGGAGGTATAATGCGTCCTCTGCCGCCTGGGTCTCTGACGCAGTGCTCCCGAAACCCTTACAATTTCCTGTGCGACAGGTGTGTTTTTTGTTTTAATGAGGCAACTCTGGGTGGGCTCCTGGATGAGGAGGGCTGGTCAATCAAAAGACCAAGCCATGACTAGAAGCTTGAACTTTTCAGCCTTGCTCCTATTCTCTTGAGAAGGGAGAAGGGCTGAAAACGGACTTAAGGTGGATCATGCCTGTGTGAGGAAGCCTCTTTCAGAATCCCAGAGTACAGGGTCTGGAGCGCTTCCAGGCTGGCATGCACATCCACACTGGGCCAAGGACGCGCCCTAAGTCCATGGGCAGAAGCTCCTGTGCTTGGGACCCTCCCGGACCTTGTCCTGTGCGTCCCTTCATCTGGCTGTTCATTGTATCCTTTATCAGACCCTTTAATAAACTGGTCAACATACGTGTCCCCTGAGTTCTGTGAGCTGCTCTAGCAAATTATCTGAGCCTGAAGAGGGGATTGTGGGGCCCTCCGTTATAGCTAAATTGGACAGAAGTTGAGGGTAACCTGGGGACCTACTACTCGTGATTGGTGTGGGTGGGAGCTGTGTTGTGGGACCGAGCCTTTAACCCGTGGGATCTGACACTGTCTCCAGGTAGATAGTGTTAGAGCTGAGCTACATAGTAGGACACCCAGCAGGTGTCACAGAGAATTGCTTGGTGTGGGAAAACCTCCCCCACATGTTTGGTGACCAGAAGTGTCAGGAGTGAAGGGTTCATATGAGTAGTAAAGGAGACACACAGAAGGTGTAGAACCGAGTTTTTCCAGCTCACTGCTGTAATCTGGAAGTTAAACATCTCTAAGAACACCTTTCTTTCTGGGGACGTCTTGAATCAGGGCATTGCTGGACACCAGGAGCTTGGGCCAGGTGGGCAATAAACTCCTGCCAGATTCTGACTCACAGCCTCTGTCTAGCTCACGTTCCCCTGGTTCTTGCAGCTGTTGCGACAGTGCATGGGATGCGCAGCCGTGATGCAGGGATGTGCTGGAGGAGATGTGGGAGCGGCAGCTCTGAGCCCCTGCACCGGGCACAGGGATGCAGATGGGAGGACAGGGCCCCGGCTGGCAGTACCTCTGTGATCTTCATTCGCAGGCGATGGTTCTCGGACTGCAGGCCCTCCAGGCGGGATGTGCTTGCTTGGTTCACGCTGGTGACGGAGGTGGACGTTTTAGAATCTTCTTTCTTCTGATTCTGAGTGAACTGGAAGCGTCTGTTCTGAGTTGCTGCATCTGGGTTTGTTCTCAGAGTGATAAGCTGAAAGGACAAAGGTGGGTTTGAGAAGAGAACCACGCGCCCTGGCCGCTTTGGCTCTGGTTAGAGCATCGGCCCACAAACCAATGAGCCGCGGGCTTGACTCAGGCCAAGGGCACGGACCTTGGTTGAGATTCCTCCCCAGCCCTGGCTGGAGTCGTGCGGGAGGCAGCCACTCGATGTGTCTCTTTCACGTCGATGTTTCTCTCTCTCTCTCTCTTCCTCTCTCTCCCTCCCACTCTATCTGAACAAAAATGTCCTCAGGTGAGGATTAAAAAAAAAGAGAGAAGAAAACCCCGGGGTCCTCCCTCCCCTCTCCATCCAGGCCCTCCCCGCAGGCCCTGCACTGGAGGCAGCAGGGGGTCACAGAGAGGACACAGCTGGGAGTCCAGAGCCCTGGGCTCAGGACTGTCTCTGCCCTTTGCTCGTGTGTGACCTGAGGCAGGCCCCTTCTCGCGGAGCCTTGGTTTCCTTCCTTGTCTGTAGAAGTCTGGTCTCCTGACCCTGTTTCTCCTTCCGGCATCCCAGGCACTCTGCGGAGCCCACCTAGAGCCCCGCAGGCCTGGCTCCTGCTGGGCCCGCTCTGCCTCAGGCCTGAGCCGTGTGGACAGTGAGCCGGAAGTTGGGGAGCAGTGAGGTGGAGAACAGTGAAGGCCTCTCCTTGTTAGAACCCTTGGCGAGTCTTGGGGCAGAATAGTGACTGGCTGTCGCTGACAAAGATATTTCTATATAAGAGAAAATGTTGCCACTTAACCCTGATCTTACTCATTGAGTGGAGAAACATCTCTGGTTTGAGGCAGGCTCTGGGCTCAGGAATGGAGCGCAGGCTGAGGGAGCCATGGCCCCTGACCTCCAGGACGCTGTGGGCCAGAGGCGAGGGGCTGAGCTCTGAGGAAGGCCTGGCAGGTGCTGAGGATATGGGAACCCAGGGGGAATATGAATATGCCGTCCCAGGGAGGCCTGGGGCTCGGCGCACTTATGGAAAAGGACAGTTTGGAGGGTGGACAGGGATTTCTGGGGAGACAGGAGGAGACTGAAGGGTCTTGAAAGGCAGCCCAGTGTCAGAGACTTGATCCCGGAGCCAGGAGGGCAGTGAGGATCTACTGAGGTGACAGAGCAGAGTGACATGGTCAGAGCTGGGCCAGAGTCAGCTGGCATCTGTTACAGGATGGAGAGCAGCGGAGCGCAGCTGTGGCGTCGGCCGGAGCCTGGGCAGGTGTTGACAACCAGAGAAGGGAGGAGTGCAGGCCAGAGGCACTGAGGGCAGAGCTGGCACTGGCTGGGGACTGACTGGGCATCATGGGCAGCCTCTAGGGGACGAAGGACCCTGAGTGACCTCTGCTCTTGTCCTTTCCGAGCAGACACTCCCCCACATTGGCCACCAACGCCTCCCTGCTCTGTCCGTTTCTTGAGACCCAGAGGTCAGGCTCCCCCTGTAAGAGCCTCTGCCGCGGGGGCTCCTCAGAGGGCAAGGCCTCTGGTTCACCTGCCTGCTGCTGAGTAGGACGAGGTCTGAAAAATACGTCTCAGGATGTCCTGAAGGCCAGCTTTCCAGATGAATGACAAATGTGAGTGGCTGTTAAAAATGGTTCTGCTTGTTGACCCACTAATACCACTTGTGCTGCTCTATCTTAAGGAGACAGGAAAATGTGTTATGTAGAAATAAAAGTTATGCATTGCTCACCAATAAGAGATCAAGGGGACAAACGAATATGGAACTTTCCCTCAGTGACGGTTATACACGTGGAGAAACACAAAGGACACACAATCAAGTGAGAGGCACACTGCAGAGCAGTACATGTGTCATACATGTGTTGTCATTCCAGCTATGTCGGAAAAAGCATCGCCGCCTAAGTATTAAAAAAACACTGGAAGAAACACCAAAACTATTAACAGTAAAAAAACCCCCAACAAACGAAACATTAACAGTGATTATTTTGGATGATGGAACTATGTGAGACTTCTGAAAAATCTGTTTTTTACTCTTCTGCACTTTCCAAGCTTTCTGCAATGTGAACTGTGTTCATCATTAAAAAGAAAAGAAAAGGCCCTGGCCGGTTTGGCTCAGCGGTTAGAGCGTTGGCCTGCGGTCCGGAGAGACCCGGGTTCGGTTCCCGCTAAGGGCACGTACCTCGGTTGCAGTTTGTCCCCGGCCCTGGTTGGTCGTGCGGGTGGCAGCCACTCGATGTGTCCCTTCACGTCGATGTTTCTCTCTCTCTCTCCCTCCCACTCTATCTGTACAAAATATGGAAAAATATCCTCAGGTGAGGATAAAAAAATAAAAAAAAAGAAAAGAAAAGGATGTGTCAAACTTAAAAAGTGAAGGAAACTCAGTGATCCCCATACGCCGGGGGCGGAGGCCAGAGGCCAGGCGGTGAGGGTGGGCGGTGGGCCACTGCCTACCTTCGGCACGAACACCAGGCAGAGGGTGATGGTGCTGCAGAAGATGATGACCAGGGCCACGATGCAGAACTGCACGTTGGGCTGGTCCCGGGTCAGGAAGGAGACGGCGGCCCCGATGATGCACATGATGCCCACGTTGTAGACGCTCATCCCGATGTACTTGCTGTCATTGAGAGCGGGGATGCTGACGTTGCGGGTCTCCCAAGCCAAGAAACAACCGAACAACTGCAACGGTGAACAGAAAGGGAGGATGGTCGTTACCTCGTGGAGGCACAGTCTCGCTGTTCTGAGAAACGACCAGACTGAGGGTTACTTGGGAAGTGAGGACTGAGGGGAAGGAGGCCGGGGCTTTGCTGTCAGCCAAGTCTTTCAGATGTCACCACCTGTCTCCACTCATAACCCTGGCTTGAGTCTGGGGGTGCAGATTGGGAATGTTACAGCAGTTTGGTTCTCCTTCACCCCCACCCCTGGTTCATGGGTAGAATAACAAGAGGCCATAGTGGGAAGGAACTTCAGATATGATCTCAACCATCTCCCCTCATTCTATAGAGAATACTGAGGCCTAGAGAGAGGAAGGGGCTTGCCCAAGGCCACACAGCAACATGGTGGCAAAGTGGACTGTGTCTCTAGAAGTTCAGTCTAGTCTTTTTTCTACTATACAAGGAAGAGTCCCTGTGTCTGGAACTTCTGTTAACCCCTCAATGTACATAACCACCCAGGGTAGAGACCATATTTCCTAGCCTATACATGTGTAGGTTCTGGACAATGCCATGTAGTATGCACAAGTTCTGGGAAGTGTCTTGAAAAAGAAAGATGTTTTCTTTTCCTCCTTCCTAATAGATGGAGTGGAATGTGATGGGTGGAGCTTGAGTAGCCATTTTGGACCACTAAGTCATCTTAGAATACCACGTGGAAGCAGTGGGATGAAGATGGGGGTCACAAGATGCAAGAAGCTCAGATGCTGGGATCCCCCACTTCTCTCCCAGATTGCTTACTTGAGAGGGAAATTAACTATTTCTTTAACCACTCTTATTCTGGGTTTGTTTTGTTCACTTGCAGCTCTACTCTTAACAAATATCTCCCAACAGAATTGAGCAGGATAGAACTCAAATATAATCTGAAGCAGGGAGTTGAGTGTTTTTCTTCACTGGTGGTCTAAGGGGAGGGGGGGCAGGCTGCAGAAGGAAGTACAGATGGATGCGGGGCAGAAATGGTGTGGGTGGGAAGAAGAGCTGACCAAGACTGCTGACTGGTGCGGGGGCTTCTGCTGCAGCCCAGCACCTCTAGGAGGCCTTCCCACAAGGCCTCTCTTCCCTGTGGTCTCATCACTGCAGTTTGGGCATGCAACACCTGCGCGGGCCACTTAGCATCACAGTGAGGGCCTCTGTTTTAAGGTTTTACTTTGGCAGCACAATGCTGTGTGGTAGAAGGGTGGTTTTTACAAGGCCGGATGGTCTGGAATCTGCTCTGCTATCCACTGGCTGTGTGACTCTGGGCAAGTCACTTTACCTCTTAGGAACTCAGTTTCAATATCTGTGAAATGGGAATACTAATGCCCCTCTCACAGGTTTCTTTTCAGATGAAATGAGAGGATGGATGTGAAAGCATTTTAAAAATGGAAATGTCCTGTACAGAATTTAAAAGGCACTTTATAATTGGTATTATTTTATACAATCATGGTTGTTCCTCTCCTAGTGTGTTACCTCACAGACTTATTTATTTATTTATTTTTATTTTTTATCCTCACTGGAGGACATTTTTCCATTTTTTGTTCAGATAGAGTGGGAGGGAGAGAGAGGAAGAGAGAGAGAGAAACATCGACGTGAAAGGGACACATTGAGTGGCTGCCACCCGCATGACCAACTAGGGCCGGGGACAAACTGCAACTGAGGTACGTGCCCTTAGTGGAAACCGATCCTGGGTCTCTCTGGACCGTAGGCCAATGCTCTAACCGCTCAGCCAAACCAGCCAGGGCCAGACTGATTTATTTTTAAAAAATTCCTTTTAAAATGGGGAACCAGAAGCCCAGGAAGCAGACACCAAATGAAGAAATGAAGCCAACAGCTGTGAAAGCCTGCTCTGTGTTGGTTCCCTCGAATTCAGGCCCCTGCAGTCCCACGAGGGCGCTGGGCATGGCTGTCCAGGTTTCACAGGGGAAGAAGCAGCGGCTGGGGAAGGCAAAGTGGCCCGCTGGGTCCCACAGCAGTGCGTGTCAGGGCTGGATGGGTGCCGGGACTCCTGCCCTCCGACGGGGGTCTGCGTGCCTCCTCTCCGCCGTGCTGCAGGTGGGCCACCAAACCAGCACGAGAGTCCCCATCAGTCATAACACAGGCCAGTCTGGGACCTGGTGGTTGGCTACAAGTCTCTGACGAGTGCCAGAAGCAAACACAGAGTCACTTGTTTTTGGGCCTTCAAGGAGAGCAGTGAGGGTTCATGAGCACAGGTTACATCGAGGCCGATTTCAGCTGAGGATAAGAAAGAAATCCCTAGAAAAGCAACGCATCTGTAGTGGGTTGAATGGTGGTCCTAAATGTTATGTCCACATCCCAATCCATAGAATCTGTGAATGTGACCTTATTTGGAAAAATAATCTTGGCAGATAAAATTAAGGATCTTGAGATGACGCATTCTCATCCTGGTGGGCCCCAAGTCAAATGACAAGAGTCCTTCTAAGAGACACAGGGAGGACGACTTGAAGGCCATATGAAGGCTGAGGCAGAGACTGGAGTAGGGCAGCCACCAGCCAAAGAACACCTGGAGACATCAGATCCTAGGAGAGACAAGGATGCATTCTCCCCAAAGGCCGCCAGAGGGAGCACAGCCCTGCCTTGATTTCAGACTTCTGGTCTCCAGAACTGTGACAGAATGCATTTCTGTTGTTTTTAAGCCACTAGTTTGTGGCAATTTGTTATGGAAGCCACAGGAAACTAATACACCATTCATGGATGATACAGGCTGCTTTGAAGGGGGTGAGCTTCCCATCACTGGAGGTGTGGAAGCAGTGAGTGGAAGAACACTTGTTGGGGATGCTCATGGTGGTCAGTGGGGTTCAAAGATGCTGAAACATCTGACAGCAGAGTGGTCCTAAGGGCTGTGCATGTTCTTTCCAGCCCGGAGATACTGAGGTTCCAGAGCAGGGGGGCTAAGAGAGGGGCTTTCAGTTATAAACCCTTGGGGCCAGGAGCACTGTGGACAGTTCTTTGTATACACTGAAAACAGTAAAGCATTTATGCTGTCAAATACAGTTTCATTGACATGATCTGATGGAAAGTGTTAGCTTTACTGGAAGAGGTACAGCCATCTCCAGCCACCTTTGGAAGTAGGTGGGGAAGATAATGAATGGCCAAAACATTACAGATGAATCCAGCTTAGAGTCAATCTGATTCACATAATCTAATTTCACAGAGTCAGGATCAAGAACATGGAGGCTGAAGGGATCCTAGAAAGAGTAGTTTCACTCTCTTTATTCAACAAGGGCTGGGTAAACTCAAGTCATGGATGTTGCACACTTCCTGTGACAGGGAGCTCATTCCTTTCCAGGGGGCTCCATCACATCCATGAACATGGCTCTGTTAAACAAAATCCTTCCTTACATAGATCAGGGGGCTGCCTTCTGGTACCTCTGCCTACTAATGATGGATCTGCCCTCGGGTCTGTGCCACCTGTCTCTGACAGCTCTGGTGACCAGGTCCCCAGAGTGTGTCCTTTTCCAAGCCTAGGACCATAGGCCAGTCTTCAAGTCCCATTTACATTCTGGGCACCTCCTGGTCATTACCTCGTGGGACTCAGATGGCAGCCCAGTAGTTAGTTCTCAAAGGACCTCTATGGAAACACAAGAAGGTCCCAACTAGTATGAAGTGGGGGTTCTTTGCCTAGGGTCCCCTAACACCTGCTCTTCTAGTGTAGCCCCGTGAAAGACCCAGGATCAGTCACTAACAGTTTTTGGAAGCAGCAGCAGAGGACGTGTTTGAGAGACATAAAGAATCCCGGCTTACGTGACTTTTGGAGAGGGCTCCATTTTCCAGAGGCAGATGGCGGCTTAACTTTCCTGCAGAAAGGTGAAGAGGGGCAGCAGCAGCCTCCTGTCACTAGAGGGATTTTAAATTGAGGCACAGTTTTCACGGATGTGTAGAGAAGGTTTAAGGATCAATCTGGGATAAGGTAAGGTGGGACCTTTCAAGTCCTTCCTAACTTTGAAATTCCATGATCGTGTGGGCTTGGCATGTGATCTTTGATTTTAACAGATGAGTAGAGTGGAAAGAATGCTGGGTTCCAGGACTGGAGGTTACCAGATGGCCTCTGGCTAATCACTTAACCTCCCTGAGCCTTACTTTCCTCATCTATAGAATCGGATGAATCCACTAACCTCCCACGGATTTAGAAGATGCAGCGAAATTCGGGATGCGAACACGCGCTAGAGATCAAAGGCTGCCGTTCCGGGAGTGGCCCAGCGGCAGCCGGACAGAGGCACACTCGCGGGTTTTGTTTGGGGTTACTCTCTGGTAACCTCATTTTCAACTCTGCCACTTACTAGCTGAGTGACCCTGGGCAAACAGAGCCTCAGTGTATTCATCAGTGAAATGGGGACATTGTACTATCTCATAGGGTTGTTATGGAAACTGCAGAAGTGTGGCAGACATGGGGCCTGGCATAGAGAAAGTGCTTAGTCCTGGGGCTCTTTTATTTTTACGTTGGTGGAGGCCCCTAGGAGAGAGTATGACAGGGAAGGGTTTCCCTGTACCTCGCCTCCCGCGCTGCACCTACCATGAGAAGCCCCTTGTAGGCATAGACGATGCCGAGCCAGATGGTCATGTGGGTGTTCTCACAGTGCTCCAGGAGAGGGCGGATGGAGATGTCCCGTCCAGCTGGATCCGGCTGTGCAAAGAAAAAACCAGAAACCCAGGATGGCACTGGGCGCCCTTCCAGCAACTGGTCCCTAACTGTCCTTTTCCCTCTCAGAAGCCACAGCTAGGGCCACCCTCCTCTGTGGCACTAGCTATGGCTTTTTGGACCCCACCTCATTTCCCACCTCTATGTCCCCATGGGGGTGGGCCTCAGCAAGCGTTGACTGCCTTCCGTTTATTGATCATGATCTAGCCTGCACTAAAGTTATATATGTTCTTTATGCCCTTCTAACTTGAGTCAGAGCTCCTGAGGGTAGGGACTAGGTCACTCCTGTGCCCGTAGAACCTAGCACGGACCTGGCCCAAAGCAGGCATCTGTAACATTTGTTGAAAGAGTGAGGGTGAGAATGAGGCACACGATTAGGTCAGGAGGCCTTTAGGTATCTCTGGAATTAATTTGGGGAGCTGGGAATACAGATCTACTGGCTGAGCCAATCACGGGGCCAATCAAGCCCTTCGAAGGAGACCTTCTTGCCTACCACCCATTAAGGGAGCTGTGGTGGTAGCCATGTCACCTATCATGATCCATCTGGGGTCAGAGCTGATTGGACAAAGGGTAGGCACCTGACCCTAGGCAGCCAATCCGGAGGCTGGTCAGAGGCCTGTGAGGTTTCATGGTGCAGAATGCTCTGCCCAAGACAGGTGGTAGAGAGGACCCTACCCAAGCTCAGGAATGAGAACTGGGAAACTCTGGGAGAGAATCAGGCAGGAGGTGGCAAGAGAAGAAAGACACCCAGGTAATAAAAAAATATATACTGTACATACAGAGGGTGGGGCAAAAGTAGGTTTGCAGCCCTGGCCAGTTTGGCTCAGTGGTTGCAGTGTCGGCCTGCGGACCAGAGAGTCCCAGATTCGGTTCCCACTAGGGGCACGTAACAAAAAAAAACAAAAGAAAACAAAACACAAACAAACAAAAAGGTTTGCAGTTCTTCATATGAAAAATAATACAATAATAAATAATAGAAAAATAAACTGTGTTTCCCATACTTACAACTGGAAACCTACCTTTGCCCCACCCTGTATTTTTCCTGCATCATTGAGAATAAGATGCGGACATCCTGACCCTTCACCCCTAGCATGTATTTCCTAAGAACAAGGAGATTCTCTTACATAATCACACACAGTTAACCAAATCCAGGAAATTGAACATTGATACAGTATATTATCTAATATACCATCCATTTTCAAAGTTCATCAATTGTCCTAATAACGTCTTTTAAGGCAATTGTGGTTTTCCAAAACAGGATCCAGTCTGGGACCACGTATTATATTCACTTGTCATGCCTTTAGGCTCCTTGAACCCCTCACGGGTCCTCAGCCCACTTTGGTTTTACATGTCACTGATATTTTTGAAGTTTTCGGTTTAGTTATTTTGTAGGATGTCCTTCAATTTGGGTTTGTCTGAAAGTGTTTGCATGGATTTGGGTTATGCGTTCTTGGCAGGGGTCCTATGCCAGTGATGTGTGGCCTCCTCGATGCTTCACTGCAGGGGCACCTGATGCCATTTGTCCCATTACTGGTGATGTTAACTGATCACTTGGTTGAGGTGATGTCTGCCAGAACTCTCCACTTCAAAGGTACCATTTCCCTCTCATAATTAATAAATAATCTGTGGGAGACACTTTGAGCCAGTGTGAGTATCTTGTTCCCCCACAAACATTAACTCAGTGGTTTCAGCATTCATTGATGATTCTTACCTGAGTCACATTATTTTGGTGGTAGCAAAATGGTGATTTTCTAACACTATGATTCCATTTAAATACTTGGCATTCTACTGTAAACAAGATCTTCCCTTTTGGCTCATTTAGAAAAATATTTATCAGTATGGACTTGTAGGTTTCTTTTTAATTCAGTGTTTTATAATCCAGTAATAAGATTTTTCATTTTTATGCTCAATTTTTTCCAGGTCTGACTAATGGAAAACTTCTTCATACTGTCTTCTGTTTTTTCAAAGTTTCTCCATAATTTAAAAAAATGTTTTTATTGATTTTTTAGAGAGAGGGGAAGGGAGAGGGAGAGATAGACACATGGATGGGAGAGGCATCAACATTGATTGACTGCCCCCTACATACCTCTTACTGGGATGGAGCCTGCAACCCAGGCATGTACTGTGACCAGGAATCAAACCAATGACCTCTCGGTGCACAGGTCAATGCTCAATCACTGAGCCACACCGGCTGGGCTGTCTCCATAAATTTTTGAGCACTTTCCTACTTCTTGGCACAAGATGTTCCCATCTCTCCTCACACTTTCCTTGCCCCAGAGTTAGAATTAGCCATTTTTTCCAAGGAGTCCTGGTTCTTTTTAGCAGAGACTGGTATTTAGAAACCAATATCTGGGTACCAGGTGTGCTCACTGTTTCTGGGGTATTACTTCTAGGTCCATGTATGTATGTATGTATCATCCATCCATGCATCATCATTTCATCTATCTCTATCTTTCTCTCATCCATCTAGAGATATACATACATATAAGCTCTAACACCACAGGGTTCTTGCTTGCCTCCCTCTATTCCATATTTGCAATCTTTCTCCTTCTACAGTGAGAACACTGGTTTCCAATAACATCAAACTATTCTCATTTGTTTACTCCTACAAATAAACACAAAATAGTTTCAGAATTGCTACATCTATACACTACTAATAAATTTATTAAATAAAGTGGAAGATTACTTTGCAAACCTGTTTGTCTCTGGAACAGATCCCACTTAGGGTATCTCCTCAAAGAACTGTGTTCAGAATGCTGTCCTGTTGAGGCCCAGGGTAAAGCCAGATGCTGGAGGGTAAGGGTAGGCAGGCATTCCCAGGGTCAGTCACGAGGAAGAAGGGGCACTTTGGTGAGGTAGAAGGCAGGCCTCAGGCAGGTGGAGGATGGAAACCCTATTTCTCTTGGCCTTGTTCTCTAGGCTTGGCCTTTGGGGCAGCAACGTCCGGGGCACCTATGAGTTGGGGAAAGATGGTACTCCCGCATGGAAGCCAGCGTGCTGGAGGTGTGGGGCTTGTGGGTTTAGGCCATCTAGTAACCAGCTCATACAGTTGCGTGCTCTCTAAGGCTTGATTTCCCTTGTGTTGTCTAAAGCCACAGAAAGCCTTAGCTCGGCCTCTACAGTTCTGACGCCACATGTAGGCTGGGATGCCAGAGGGGGGAGGAGCCTGAAGCCTCTGCAGTGGTGGCAGTGGGTACTAGCGAGAGCCACCCAAGGGAATGTGATCTCCAGGAACCATAGTGGGCGTGGCCAAGGCTAGAGATTTCCCCTCCACTGCTGCCCACCCAGGAGCTGAACTGGATTCAACTAAGGGTGAGGGGAGTTTCCTGATGTCCTTTCATTAACTGAGGAGACCGAGAAAGGGCTTGGTCCCAAGGTCAACAGTGACTTAGTGGCAGATCTGACAACCAAGCAGACATCAGAATGCAGCAGCACAGGCCCGGCACGGTCATGCCTGAAGAGTAAACCCGTTAACGATGATCCTGTCTGTTCTACAATGAAAAGCACTAATTTATGATGAATTCTTAGATTCTACGTGTAGAGGACTGATTCTGTCATAGACCCTGTTCAACGCGATGATAACTCCATTCACAGGAAGCTGGCCCTGGTTGTCTGGTGTATGCCCCCACGACAGACCCCTCCCTCCACTCTTGGTGAGATGCTTGTGCAGTTCTTTTATTGAACCAGAACCTTCTCCTCCTGGACCTCCACCCATTGGTCTTTCCTCTCGGGCTCCCCAGAATAATCTGAAGCTCCCTCCTTGAGTCTGCACACCCTTCTTCAGGAGGGGGAGAGCCACAGTGAAGGTACACACCACCTCCTCCCACACATCGACCTGGTCCTTTAACCTGCTCGAGTTTACCATTGATTTGTAGGTCTAGGTTCGAGCTCAACCACCTGGTGAAAGCAAGTCCACTTGTACCCTTGCTCTAGATCTCCTTGGCTTCCTTTAAAAAAAATTTTTTTTTTCTTTATTGATTTTAGAGAGAGGAAGAGAGAGGTGGAGAGAGGGAGAGAGAGATAGAAACATCGATGAGAGAGAACATTGATTGGCCGCCTCCTGTATGCCCCTCACTGGGGATCAGGGCCCACAACCTGGGAATGTGCCCTGACTGGGAATCGAACCGGCAGCCTCTTAGTGCATGGGTCAATGCTCAACCACTGAGCCACACCAGCCGGGCTCCTTGGCTTTCTAAGTAACTACCTTCCACCAGCGATTCAGATGTTCCTTAGGATTGACTAAGACCCCATCAGGTAATTTTTATCCAACTGCTGCTAGCTCTGTCTTCCCCCTTCTGCAGCTGACATTCCAGCCTGGTTACCTTTCCCTGTTTTGTAACCCCCTCCCCACCCCAGCCGTCATCTTGGTCTGCTCTGATCTCTTTGAATCCTGAAATCCTAATTCTTAATCTGGTCTTTTAGCCCTCACCCATCTCCATAAACGTTAGCCAGCCTTGGCTGCAGAGCTGGGAGGGCAGCAGGGAACTGAGGGCTGCTTTGTTCCCAGGAAAGTCAGTGGTCCCGAGGGTGGGCAGAGATGCCTCTACACCATCTCCCCAGGCTCTGATCCAGAAATAAGCACAACGATCTCCTTGGTAGTGAACATTGCCCGCTCTTCTTGTCTTATCCGTCTTGGTCGTGCCTGAGACTGGAGTTCAGAGTGGTCTGAGCAGTCACACACAGGAGAGATGCACCTGACTGAGCAATGGGAGGGGGCAGGGAGCACGGATACCACCTGAGCGCTTACTTGGCGTCATTGTCGTGCACCAGAGTGCCACTAGAGGACACCAAAGAACTGTGCGGAGAGTCTGGCCAGCAGCTGTGCATCATCCTCTGCTGGGCAAACAGAGCTACTGCTCCGGCTCCTGAGGCTGTAAGTGATGAAGCCCTCAGCACCCACTGGCCTCAACAAGGTCAGATTTCCAGGCACCATGAGGACCCCCCAACCCCCTTCCAGGGTAGTGGCGATGGGGTAGGGTAGGGAG